CAGCTATATAGAGAAGGATCTCAGTCTCACTTGTTTCTCCCATTATACAGGAAAAACAACAGGCACAACCAGAGCGTGATTCCAGATCACCTAATTAGAGTGCTGGTCTAAATAAGCCTTTAGAGGTGCTGTCTGTAAAAGGTCACTCTGTACTTCAGGTTAATTTTTGTGAACACCTCTTGTGACCTTTCAGTGGAATTTACTTCCTGGCTTTGCAACTTTTTCCATTTGAAAGTGAAACTTTCTCATAGACCTGACACAAACCCCAAACAATCCTGGCTTGCCGTGTGCTCTAAGGATCAAAGAGCAGTTTTTATCAACCAAAACTACAGCCCAGTGGAGAAAACAGATTTAAAAAATTTATGTAAGAACAAACATTACTTAATGGACGTTACAGACTATACTAAATAAATGTATTTTGTACTTGCTGCTGAATTTCTGAAAAAAAAGTCTATGTGTATCTACATGCTAGACTACATTATCATACCTGGGCAATGGTCCTAAAAACCCAAACTTCTTACACAGTGATGTAGAAGATAGCAAATTTGGTCACTCTACCTGTACCATGAGTGCATAATTTCAAGGTTGAAAGAGGTTGATCTAAATCACTTATGTCGAGAGTAATTAAATCTAAATTATCTTAAATACTGACAAAGGGACACATAAGCAAGCACTGAGATTACTCACTTGGTGTACAGGCTTTGCCAAAATCAAGGTCTCAATGGCAGGAAGAAGAAAATATTACTCCCTTGTCAACTTTGATTACACAACAAAGAAAATAATGAAACATAGCATATGTTGTCTCGTAAATTTTAGAAACAACAGCTTTCAGCACTCCATGCTTTAATTTTGTACTCAAATATATCTCAGCTGTGGATGTTCAGAAAGCTGCTGCTTCCTTTAATACTACCCTCCTGTCATAACATTTCTAAGAGGAGAATGTAGGTATCACACTTTTTTACTGAGTAAAGGTGTTAGAAGTTACAGCACCTACTATCGCAAATATAATGAAAAAATATGCCATTTAATAAGGTTAGGTGGTTATTTTTCCCCGTATGTACAAATTAAGTATTTTTAACCACGTCTGAAAAATTGCTTTGAAGGCGTTTAGATGAACTTAAAACTTTTTAGTTAAGCTGGAGACTGCAAAGAATTTCCTTCTACATTTTATATCTATTATCTAGTGATTCTCTCTTGGATGCAAAATCTCTCACCTAGATAGACCACTTATACTCTTCATCTCAGTCTGAACCAAAAATTCTTTTCTCAACTTTGTTGGTGAAAAAGCAGCTATTGATTTAGGTTTTATTCAACAGAGCTCTTAAACAAGTTCAGACATTTGCTTAAATGTTTTAGTTCATTAGAGCCATTAAGAAACATTTATTACTATATTGTGTTAAGTAATGTAAGTAATTTCAGTGTGTCAGTGATGGTTCTCAGGACAAAAAGTCTTTAAAAGATTGTCCATAGCTCAACAAAATTACCCATACTTTTCAGGTCAGAAAAAAAATCTTTAACATCCTAAGAAAATTATACTGGAATGAGAGATGTAAGAAAAAGTATGTCTTCTATTAACATAAACTGCTTAATTTAAAAACTAATTTATTACTTATATTTATCAAAGACACGACATGCAGACCAGATTTTTGGCTAGACCACTACCTGGATTCTTTATTTTCCCTACAAAGCTATGAGCAAACCTATTCATATCAGCACTATAAAGTTCTTAAAAGCTGAATATGCATTTCACACAGCAGAGTCGATTGACTCCAGCAGATCTCACAGATGAGAACATCAGGTCAGCTCGTTCACAGTTCTTGCACACAGGCTTTTTCTGTACATAGCTTCTGCATGTAGAGGAGACGGAGCTTTGACAACTGAGGCTAAACTTTCAGAAGTTATACAAATATGCTTTCAGAAATATATTTTCACTTAAATGAAAAACTGTGTTCTCGACTGAGTTGATTTTCACTGTCATGGAAATCACTTTTTCAAGGACAATACTTGTTATAATGCATTTAAAGAAAAAATGGGCTAGGACGATTTCTTAGATGTACAGTTTACAAGTATGGTTTAACTTTGCATAGTAGTAATACATATTTACAAGTGCCAGATTTTCAATTTATAAATATTTATCATAAGGACATGATTTTATCTTTAATTAGCCCAACTGTTAAGGACACTTCTAATGTAAGAAATGTAATTCAGTATTTCGTACCAGATGTAGCCTCTACAGCTAGTCTTTTTATCTCTGTTTGTAATGAGCGGATACTTAAACCAAAAACATTATGTAATATGTAAGTGATTAGAAGAGAATAACTACAGAAGATCTGGGTTCTGAATTTAAAATAATAATTTTCTGAAGTTGCATACCTTACTTTAAAGCACCTGTGCAATATCAACATACTTTAAGTATATGATTATTTCCTACACATACCCATATGAATTTCTTTGTTCATGGAAAGACCTGAATTACTAGATTGTCCTTCCTTTCCTGTCTCTCCCTAACCAGGTGAGTTATGACTCTGTGTTTGAGACTTTTAGAAAAAGCATAAACATGAAAACTGGGATAGTTCCAGGTCTGATCCTGGGTTACCTCTTGGGTTATCAACAACTGAAATATGATGCCCGTCTAATAACATCGCATTGCCAAACACAGCAACCCCTAAAACATGCATGTTATACTGAAATTTTTCATAATTACACATCAAACTTTCGGCGTGGTTGGAAACACCGAATCAGAGAGCGAGAGGGCAGAAGGAAGGAAGGACTGGTGACAGGTGGGAGGGAAGAAGAATAGCAGCAGCCTGGTGGACTCATTAAAAAGGCAGACTTACTTTCTTTTTCCAGAATAAATAATTATACCAAATTTCTAAATTAAGTGCCATAAGAGGTTAGCTGCCTTAAACTGCAAGTCATAATGTAAAAAAACAAAACAAATGCAAAGTAAATTGGGATTTCATTAGCAATATTCTGTGCTGTAATCCTCCAAGAATGTATGAAGTGAACTGGGGGAAAACCAATTTCATGTCTAATGATATGCTGAAATCGATTATTCTTTGACGAAGCAGAGAGTCAGAAAATAAGTGGAGTCATTATGTATCTGTGCATCTATCCTACCATGACAACGGCCTGTTTGCAATCCACTGCTAACATTTTGTGGCCTTACAAAGACTGTTCTTCAATTGAATAATAAAATGGAAACAGAACGCACCCGTTACTAAGGAAACTCTGAGCCAACTTTTGATTCAGCTAATTTTTCTCAGCAGTCTGAGTTACACTGAACTGCTTGCTCTCTGTATTGATTTAATTAGCAAAATGTTTGATTATTGGATTGTGAATATTACCTATTGACTCATTTACTTACTGTATAAAACAGCAAGCAAATGTTTTAACATATTCATGAAGGAACCAAACAACATGTCATTTTGGGAGGATTTTTAGGGATGGGAACAAGGGACACAACGGGAAATGATGGAGGGAAGGTACAAATGAGATGTTGGCACAGAAAGGAGTTTGGGAATGTCTTCCACAGAGTTGTCTTGTATTGCTGGCTTCCCATTCTCTCTTCCTTTCCCCCATCATTTGAAGCCTTCCCAAGTTTTGGTTAAGCCTCTGGATACACATGAAGAGAATCAGTCTGAAATAACCCTCTAAGAAACACGATAACGTAACAATGATAAATGTCACCATGATAACATTTTTCATAATTTCTTTTAGCTCTTGATTAATTCTATTCCCAGTGTTGCCCCAAATGCCAAATGTTAGTAAACCATCTGGATGACAGAAAACGCTAGAACAGAACTGCTTTGGTTTCCACATTAATGCTTATTTACTGGGATACACCTGTATGGCAATGTCCTTCTGCTAACAAGCTCTCCAGTGAAGTAGGATGTGTTTTTAGCCGACAGTATGGCAGTCATTTAGCTGCCCCACTTTCCAATAGCAATACTTCCCACTATATTAACACTAGCACAAAAATTAAAAGAGAGATTATGAGGTATTCTCAGCATGTCTCCTTATGGGAAAAACAACACATGTAAATCTTGAATCTGCAAATATGTCAGTCCCCTGGAGAGCGCTCAGATAGCTGTGAATTTTGGCCCCACTGATTGGAAACAGTAGGAGATTCAGAGCTTGGAAATTAGGCTGGTTTTAGATGAGTCCAGGCTTAACAATTATATGGTAGATTAGGAACAATATCATAAACAATTTGCATTGTTCAGTAATCCAGATAGCCTGCTCTCTTATAGATACAGAGAAAATGACACTCCGGTGCAGCGATGGCAGGCTGGCAGGAAATTTTGAGGGACAAGCACACCCCAGGAACATGAAGGCAATTAACAGGAAACAATGAGAACAGCATGGAGGAGTAGCTGCGTACTGTGTCTGTCTCCGTGGCATTCAAGTGTCATCAAACAAAGCTAAGGGATTTGGTACAATATACTTGTTTAGCGCATGTTCCACCTGCCCTTCATCCCAGAAATGGCCCCTATTAGTAATGTATATGCAAAGGAGGATCTTAGCAGAGCAAGACTGTTTTTAACACTAAATAAATCTGGAGTACATTACACTCTTGGTTTAAAATTGGCTCAGTGTGGGAGAAAACAACCTCCAAGGTAATTCTGAATTCTGTTTCCATGTTTTATGTAAAACACAAATTCTGTATTTTTCTCCTATGGCAACACCTGTCTTCCACTCCTTAGGCAGGAAAAACTCAGGTTGTCTTACATCTATCAGTACTTGCAAAATGGAATCCTCATGAATTAATTTTAAAGAGTTTTTCACTTCTAGTTTTTTACTTTTCACTCAAAGTTTTAAATTTTATTTGGTACTTTTTACAGGTGATCAGATTCAGTTAATAATTTTGGCCTATGGGGAACAATGAGGCTTATAAGCAATATCTAAAATTCCTTGAAAACAGTACCATTTCAGCTAAATGTATTTTGTCTGGCAGCATAGCCATTAACAATTTGAAACAGGAAAATCTGAGAAAATACCTGCTTTATGAAACTTCTCCATTATCTCTCGACGAACTGATTTTTCCAAGTTGAAATAATCGTGGTCTTCATCAGGTTTTCTCAGAAACAGAGGGATGTGCTGAAATACTATTATATGCTTGCATTTATGTTTTTCAGCAACAGCCAGTTGCTCATTGAGCCACACATCCTGGACTTGCTTTAACTCAGGGCATTTGGAAGAATCGAAGTATAACTGAGAATTCAGCACAAGAAAGAAAACACCTCCAACCCAAAAGCTGAAGTAGTCATCTCCCCAGTTCTTGCAATAATTATCTATTGTTTCTCTTGTTGGAGTATTGCCAATATCATGATTTCCACTGACGAATACCAATGGGATGTCCTGGTCAGTGTTCTTCAGAACATTCTTTAAATCTTGCTCTTGGTCCTTTCTCCATTGAGTTCCTATAGAAAAAAACAAACACATTTTAGTGTTTATGCTCTCTTTTCCTACCCTCATTGTTAGCTTTTGTTTATGGAAATATGCATAGTAAGAAAATATTCTGTATTAGATGTGATCATGATAATATACAGGGATCTAGAATACATCTTCACTCTAATATTGTGTGTCCACTCAACCCTTTCCTCCCACTTCTTTCTCTCCCTTATCAAGTACTTAGCCATTTCCAATAACTTGCCTTAAGCAAGGCTCTGGATCGGAACCAACAGATAGCATTAGCAGTAGGTGATGTAACAGTCAGTGTTTTGCACCAAAAGCTTTAGCAGGCTGATTCTTCTCATCTATAGACTGATGATCTGGTGAAAAAATGCAGCAACCGTGGATGGTGTAACAGCTTTACACAAGGGTAAAAACCAGGTCAACTTCTCGTTTATATTTTATGGTTGTGCAAAGGAATTAAGGGGTTTTTTTTCATTACAAGAACTACTTTAACAGCAAAAATATAATTAGTGTCTTGTGGCGACTTGTTTATATGATGAGTCTGTTTTAATAATGAGCATGGCATTAATTTCAAAGAAAGGTAATTGTGTACTTCGCTAGTTTTTCCCACATCTCTGGTTTTATATTAATATGCGTACCGAGACAGTTACTCTTCTGGTTGTCAGAAATTGGTCCTTGTCTAGGAAGGTTTATCTAGTTGCTAGATTAATTTACCATCACTGAAAAAATTTGAGAAAGGATTTTTTTAAAAAAGCAGTTATTTTATGATGATGATGACAGGTTTTTTTAAAGTTTTCTAAAGAGTAATCTTTAATCAGAGGCCATCAATACGTTATTACTCATGAATTAAATTGAACATTTATAAATTGTATTTTGTCCTGCAATACATAACATGTATCTAACATGGGCCCATTTCACAAACAACTGCATTTTTTAACAAAGAAGTTGTAACAGGATTTTTACAAGAACTCTGAAATCAGCTATATAACATACATTTGCATACAGGTATATGCAAATCAATCATAATGTATTTTTAAATTGTGTTCTGTTTTTGTAACTACACATGTATATTATACACTGAAATTTATTAGAGGGGCTCCTGTAATGTAACTACGAGACAAAAGATTTTTTTCCTCTGTGTTTCTTCAAAATACTTATGATCAATGTGTTGACAAACACTGACCCTTAGTAACTATTATTAGCAAAGATTTCAATTCCTTTTCCAAGTCCTATAGGTACAGGCTTAAGTACCACCTTATTGCTGTTACTAGAATTCTAGAGCTCTAGAAAAATACTGGGGAAACCCCATATTCATATTATGTCTAAATTATGTCTAAATGTAAAGACAGATGAGAGATTTGATATGTGGTGCATAAAGTCAAAATCCACAACTCTCTTGTGTTTAACTACTGTACAGGGTAGAAAGGTACTGTAACAAAAGCTTTGAGTTACCGGGCATATGATACCCAGTGTAGTCTAGAAGGTAGTGGACAGCAGATCAGTTTGTGGGGTATATTAATGAGCCAGGACCTTCGTCAGTTTAGGCCGTCCTTCCAGTCATGGAAAATATCCTTATCAATCCTAGAAAAAACCAGGGCAAATGACATCTCATGTTACTTGGAGGAGCTGGACTTGAAAAAATAAAGCCAAAAATTTAAATGAACCTGGCACACTTTGTCGTCCATGGGGTAGGGAACCTGGCTGAGAAAGCTGCTTTTCCTGCCACTCCCCACCTTCCTGTGCAAAGAGGTGGAAATTTCAAGCTATAAATATGAAAATGTATGGGGGAGGGGGGCGGGGAAAAGGCGAGGGGGAAGGCTCTTTTAAGATATATGTAAACACATTACACCATGTTAATCTCCATGCTATCACTTTGGGAAATTTAGCTAACAGTTTCAGAGTATAAAGACATTTATGCATAAGTTACAGAAATAATTGGTAGAATTATGTATACCTCTTCCCAGTGGTGAAATTCAAGCTCTAGAGACTAACACTTAGATTAGATTTGTCGACAGCAGGGCACTGGTTCCCTCATTTAATGCAATATTATTTCTATAGCAACAGAGAGACATATTCAGTGTTTTATTGCAGAAAACAGATTGCTCAAAATGGAAAACAACGTCTTTGCCCAAAGAGTCTAGGAAATCATACTAAATGAAGATTATTTTAGGACAATTGTATCTTGGCTTGACCTTTTCTTGGTGGAAGGTTGAAACAACTTCAAAAGAAGAGAAACCCAGGGACATAAAGGTGGGAAAAGGCGGAGTAATATCCCTGTACTCTTTGGGTGTAGCACTGGAGAGGACGGGCTAGGATGTACACACTAACCGTGAGTTGTACTATGGTAGCACACACTATTTGTGCTACAATGGGCCACACCACTATGCAGTGCCCCCCTGAAGGCACCTCCCTCTAAATTTACAACCAAGGCAAGTAAGAGATGAAGAAGATAAAGAAGAGGAGATAAAGAAAAGAAGGAAGCCACTAGAAAACTACAGTGGTCACTGCCATAGCATAAAAAAGATCCCCTTTAACCTCTACCAGGCACAGAGCTAGCTATAATATTTAATTATTCCAATTATTATGAAGAACAGTTTTATTTGATTACATGTATTTCTTTAGCTTAGATAGAGGTTTGTTGTAGGTGAATAGGAAAAGAATATAATGCCAAGAGGCAATGTAAAAAAATAATTTGGGAAGTGTCAGGGTAGATGTAACTGAAATTTATTTCTGTTCTGTTTATCCTGGCATCATGTGCAGTGACATTTTTAAGTCACTGGCTACAATATCATGTCTTTATGTTATGTTAGGTTCTGTAAATACAGTCTTGCCCTGAGATAAATGACCTGTTGCATGTTATATCGCTATTGCCTAAACACTTCCAATATTCTTTCCTGCATTGGTTAAAGGAGTCCAGACAACCTGCCTTCACTCACTGAAAGAGCAGATTTCAAGAAAGAAAGTACTTTTAAAGCATTTTTGCTGAAGTCAGCAGAAGTAGAATTCACAGATTATTCTGCCAAAGAAATAATCCTTTAGCTACTAATCCACAGTTACAGTTTACTTTGGTATTCCACAGAATAGAGCACCTCTATAACAAAGTGTTAGGTTTGGTTTTTTTAATGCACTAGCTATAAAACCAACTTGAAGCACTGTTTACCTCCAAACCGTATCTCTGCAATGCACACTGATTGCAATTTTTGCATCTGAGGCAACTCTTCACTTACAAGTAACCACCACCAACATTGTGACTTTTTCCCCAAAAGTATTCCAAATGAAAAATTAGCAATCAATTAATGATAGCACCCATTTTTCTACTGATATGAATTAGGAGAGGGAAAGGCAGAGGTTGTAATGGTATGATTAGGTGGTACTCCCAGGTGTTTCTGTGTTGGTGTTAGGAGAAGAACTCCAAGTACTGCCTCCCCCAAGGTAGGAGAAGCTTGCCAGCCCCTGTGAGGGGACACGGGTGTGGTGGGAATGGCAGGGGTATTGGCCTGGAGCTCCAATTCATGTCATTTTCCAAGAGATGGAAGTTCTAGTGAGGTAATCTGACTTCTTTTAACTATCAAAGCTGTTGGTCATAAATTCACAGAGAAAAAGACCGTCAGAGGTCAGTTACTCAATATTACGTGATGACTGTGCATTTCAGAAAACTTTCTACCCTGAGTAGATCTGAGAAGTCACTTTCAGGGATCTGGCTGGCACAAGCTGACTCAGCCCGTGATACTGATGTTGCTGCTGTTTCTAAACCTCCTTTCAGGGATGGGTTTTCTCAGGAGCCAGAACAGTACCTCTTGTTTACCTGTCCTGCAAATCTTGACACAGACAGAACTATGTCATGGTTTGCTACAGGAAAGGCTATAGACATGAAAAAAATGTGGACCTAACATCTGACTTTAAAAGTTTGGCAAGGGGGGCCCTAACTGAGCAAGAATACGTATTTACACCCCCACTGATGCTTTGCACTAAGTTACAATGGTCTCTGTCACTGCAACATCCTTGCTCGGCTTAGGCTGAGGACCAGCACAGGCACTTTTAGGATGAAGCTACCCAAGATGTCTTCAGCCAATCTAACAACATGTAAAAATGTAGCACAATCATTTCCTGCATTTCTAAATTACTTGGTCTCAGTATTTCAATGTATCTTAAAAGTGTCCCAAACTTAGAGGAGTTGCAAACACATCATTTTTAAAGGAAAGCACAAATTTTCAGTTTGAAAAAGAAGAATTGTTTAACTATGAGCTTTTATGTGAGCAACACTCTTGAAAACCCTGATATGACAACTGCAATCTGCCTAACTTTTAACCCAAGAGACTGATTATCAAAGAACAGGGAAGAGCTAAATTGTAGATTAAGATACTATACAAAATATCAAATGGAAATAGTAACTAAATCTGATAAAGGCAAGATAAATGTTGAAACGCCACCAATGAAAATGGAATTTATAAAAACATTGGGCCCATTCCTTCTGTAATTTATTATGATATCAGAAGAATTACTCTGACATCAAAAGACAAGTAATTCTTACTGGAAGCAATCATGAGATTGTTATAAACAAACAAAAGACAGATTTGTGTGTTTTCCTGGGCCTTACAGTGCATCACAATTGCTTTAATCAAAGAGTCTAATTATTTTGGGCACTTTCCTGTTCTTGAGATGTTTGTCCTTTTTTTTTGTTTTCTTGACTGTCTGCAGCTGCTCTACTCCTTTTGCATGCCATTTAGAGGACTTTCCCTAGTATTCCCTAACTTTCTAGACAAGAGAAGAGGGGAGTCCAAGGCTATAGTCACAGCATGCTCCTTTTCTAAGTATCTCCACTGAAACAAATTTAACTGCTACCTCTATGCCCCTGTGGGAAAGCAGTCTCCTCCTGTTCAAAATAGGGTTGCCTTTCATCTCTGCTGTTGTTTTGGATACCTGGATCTTGGCTCCAGCTTAACAGGGCTACAACTAAGATTCTACGTCATCCCTCTCAGCGTCTCTCACCTGACCCCCTACCCAG